TCTTGGTGGTGTTGGTACTGTCCCCTAGAGGGTCGTTTGGAATCTGTGGAGCCCTTGATGGGATTGGGAGTCCCTGGGTGGAGCCAGGAGCCCTGGTGGCACAGTGGTTAAGTGCTCAGCTGCTAACGGAAAGGTCAGTGATTCGAAGCCCCCAGCTGCTCTGCAGGAGAAAGATGGGGCAGTCTGCTTCCACGAAGATTACAGCCTTGGAGACCCCAGGTCTATTCTGTCCTATAGTCAGAACCGACTCAACAGCAATGAGCGTGGTGCAAGCAGTTAACACACTCAGCTGCAACTGAAAGGCTGTAGGTTTGCGTCCACTCAGAGGGCCTCAGAAGAGAGACCGGGGTCACCGGGAGTCAGAGCCAACTCCATGACAACTGGCTCTTCTGGTTTGTGGGCTCGAGACTCATCACTGGCTCACAGTGGACCAACTCCAGTCAATGAGGAATTTTTCTTTGTCTCGCACAATTCTCATGCCCTTCCAAACAATCACGTGGGTGAAAAGTCTGCTTCATTTATTTGAATCTAGAACTGAACTCTACATATAAATATGACTATGATTTCTGCTGGTCTTCATATACGCTGACTTTTCTAGGAACGCAAGTACTATATAAATCAGAGAAATGTCAGGAAGGAAAGCTGTGCTTTGTTTTACTTGAAATTTTGCCAAGAGTTCTCATCCCACAGTGATTCTGTGCATGGGGGCAAGCCCCATATACTGCACTAAGTCACCCGTTCAGACACACAGAGTAGTTTCATACCAAAGTATGTATTAAATTGCTTATATTTCTCCTTTACCACATAGTCGAGGCATTTAAAAAAAATTATTTTGTGGTAAAAATATGTAACACAACCTTTGCCAATTCAGCATTCTTTACATGTACAATTTAGTGACACTAGACCCGACTCGATGGCAAATAACAACAACAACAGACACTGACTATGTTCATCATCTTGTGCGCTATCCACCGTCCACATCCAAATTACTCTGCCACCATCAGCAGAAACTCAGGGTCCACTAGACAATGACTCCCTTTTCCCTCCAACCTTAGGGCATTATTTGTATTTTATTTGAAATTATATATGAAGATAAGCTATATTATTTATGAACCTCACTTCAGAGGAAAAAAACAAACAAACAAAAACAAAACTCACTGCCGTCGAGTCGGGTCCAACTCATAGCAACCCTTCCTTGGGTTTCCAAGGTGGTATCATTATGGAAGTACATTGCCCAACCTTCCTTCCAAGGAGTGGCTGGTGGGTTTGAACTGCCAGCCTTCTGGTTACCAGTCAAATGCCTTAGACACTATGCTACCAGAGCTCCCAGCTTCAGAGGAGTAAACCAAAAATCCAACTCACTGTTGTTGAGTCGTCAATCCCAACTTATAGCAACCCCACTGCATTTCCAAGGCTGTAAATCTTTACAGAAGCAGACTGGATCATCTTTCTTCTGCAGAGTGGCTAGTGGGTTCAAACCACTGACCTTTTGGTTAGCAACCAAATACCTTAACCATGACACCAGAGCTCCTCCAGAGGAGTAAAAGGGACAGCCAATAGTTGCTACCCCAGGGCACGCTGGATAGACCTGGGCAAAGAACCTCAGTGGTGGCACCGGACCATGACCCCATAAAGCAGAGGGGGGAGACTGGGGAATCTTCTACCACATCTTCACTTACAAGCTTCTAACATGCATGTGTGTCTGTGTATCTGTGTGTATGTTCTTCATATTTTCTCACACAAATAGGATCCTACTGAACACATTACTATATATTTGCTTTTTTTACTTAAAAGTATATGTTAGGGCTGTTTCCTTCCTGTGGGTGAGGAGGCCCTGGCAGAATTCCTCGCTGCTGTTCTTCCCGTCGGAAAAGATGGCCCTGGAGATGGTGCCGAAGGACGTGAGGCATCTGCGGACCCATCTGATGTGTTCGCTGGTCAAGACTCTAGATCACTTTGAATATGACGGCTGTGACAATTGTGATGCATGCCCACAGATGAAGGGCAACCGAGAGGCGCTACAGGACTGCACCAGCTCTCACCGTGATGGAATCACTGCAGTGACGAGCCCAAAGGACAGCTGGGTCTCCTAGTGGCAGCAAGTCCGTAACTCTAAGCCAGGTGTGTACGCTGAGTCAGTCACTGGTCCCCTGCCCCAAGGAATTGTGTGGGAGCTGAAGAGTCAAGGAGTAGCCTATACCTCCAGAGACACAGCTATAAAGACTCAGTCAGACGCAGGGTTACAGCCCATTGGCGTTCCACCTCCTGACTCTGCCTTTTCTTTCTTGTGCAACTAAACGAACAGAATTGCAAATCTTCACAACCCTCCAACTCTGAGACTCAAAAACCATTGAAAAAGCAGCACAGTGGGTCCTTGGACCATTTTACCTTCTTTGGACAACTGGTAGAGGGGGCAGGGGTCTGAGTTGATGGATTAGCAGAGACTGAATTGAGGAGGGAGTAAGATGCTGGGTTTCCTACCCACAGGCTGCTCCTTTGGCCACAGTCAGATCTCTGTGGGCCAAACGCCAATCAACGCGAGCCCCTGGGAAAGTTCTTCTGCCCATGATGCATGCCTTGTTTCCCTCTCCCTCTCTCCTGGCCCAGCACCGAACGTGCCACTGCTTGCTCCGTAAGAGGACTCTGCTCCCCCCTGCCAGGCCCATTGGGAGACTGCTGTTCAGAGCCAGGTGACCTCATCAGCCTGGCAGTCCTTGTGCCTTTTGGTTGCATCCCGTCTGCCCTTTGAGCACCTAGGCCCGGGCTCAGCAGGTACCCCTTGAAGAAATCCTGAGGTTTTATAGTGCCCTTTGTCCCTTGACCCTGTCTAATACAACTTTATCTGCTCTTTGGCTTTCTTCTTTTTTCACTTCTCTTGGGAGCTCTGGTGGCATAGTGCCTAAGGCATTTGACTGCTAACCAGAAGGCTGATGGTTCAAACCCACCAGCCACTCCTCAGAAGGAAGGTTGGGCAATCTACTTCCATAGTGATACCATCTTGGAAACCCAAGGAGGGGTCACTGGGAGTTGAATCCAACTTGATGGCAGTAAGTTTGGGGGATTTTTGCTTCCTAAGGCACTTGACTGCTAATTAGAAGGCCGGCAGTTCAAACACGCCAGCCACTCCTCGGAAGGAAGGTTAGGCAATCTACTTCCGTAGTGATACTGCCTCGGAAACCCAAGGAGGGGACGATATGAGTCGGATCTGACTTGACAGCACACAACAACAACAACAACAACAATACCTTAGCCAATAGTAGCCCCTGCCCCTCCCCACTTACCCACATTTTCTAGTTCCCTAACAGAAGGTCCTCAGCCTTTAGACGGCTGCTGCATCTCGTCTGGTTTGTTTGTGAAGCACCTTAAGGAACATCACACATTGACCAAGATAAGCTACTTGTTTTGGAATAAAAAATTCACTGGAAATTCCATTTAAGTTTCTACAAAACACTCTCAGTATGTCCATTTTGAGTTTCATCTTTTTGATCTGTAAGATGAGGCTTGCCTGTTTACCTCAGGGTTGAGATTATACAAATTAAGCAATGTGAAAATTCTTAAGTATTATAAAAGGTAAATTTAAAAAAAAAAAAAAGTATA